CTGGCGAGAGGCAGCATCCCAGCTTAGGTGTACAGCTGGACCCTACACCCACACTCACCTTCCTTCCAGGGAGATGCAGCACCTCCCAGCCACCCAGCCATCCATGCCGGATTTGGTGAGCAGCACGCATCGGCTCCTCTGGGTTCCTTGGTGTGCCTGCAAACAGTCCTGGTCACTCAGCAGATTGCCAGAGATCTCACCAAACCACCAGGTTCTCTCTGACTTGTCTCAGGTGGTCGGGGCCATGCTCATTCTGCAAGCTGGAGACACAGAGGTCCCCAGGGGCTCCTGTTCCCAGCACATCTCTCCTGTTTCTCCACGGAGACAGGCAGCCAAGTTCAACAAGCCCCGTGAAGCACTCGGGAGGGGTGGTCTTTTGGAGTCAGTCTCCCCTCGCTGTATAGTAACCGAGAGCCAGGCTCTTTACTGACTGTGACCTTGGGCTGGTCACTGACCTCACGTGGTCCCTTGTCTGTACAAGGGGACGGCAGTCGTAACCACCTCCCTGTGTTTGTCAGGATATAAATTAGCCAAGCCTAGAGTCACAGAGACGTTGTTTCAGGCAAACTCCAGAGCTCCCTGTGGCAAGCTTGATCCAGTGGTCTGGTTGAGACCACAAATGCTTACTTTTAATCATTGCTATGACCATAGTTCTCACCTTTAGTGGCATTAAACTTGGCGGGACCTGCAGAGCTTGCTGGCAATACAGGAGGCCTTGAACAAGACAGGGTGAGTCCCCCACACAGGTAAGTTAACTTGCCCTAAGGAGACACAGTAGTAGCTGATTTATATCCTCATTAGAACATAGGAAGGTAGATATCATTCTCTCCCATCTGTAGAAGAGAGGTCAGCAAGCAACCCAAGATCACATGGCCGGTATAAAAGATAAAGGCTAGAAATGTTAGATCAGCCCCTGAAGGGCCTGTTGGTAACTTCCCATCAGAAAATAAGGAGATGCTTACAACAACATTTGGCCACAATCCTCTGGCCAGAGCCCTTCCTTACTGACAGCCAAACCCACAGACGGGCCCACAGGGTCACAGAGGCAAGTCAGCTAATCGAAGTACCAGCCATTCTTGTGACCCTAGCCCTCCACCCTCCCAGATAAATACATCATGTCTCCTCAGCGGGGTGGCCTGAAGCACCTCCAGCTTCAGAACCCCAGGCGTTCTTTCTCTCAGTAAACTCTTTTCTCTTAGAAAAACAAACAAACAAACAAAGGCAGCAGAGGTGAGATTTCACCTAGGGCCAGTGCTCCGAAGCCTACACTTTTCGTGCTTCTTGTATGGTTACAAACCTGGGCGGAGCCAAAGTCCAGCAGCTGGTTGCTGTGCTCTGGCGGCCAACCTCCGGCCTCCATGTAATGTTTCCATGTACAAAATGGCCTGAGGTCAGGAGGAACGGACAGGCAGCAGTAGAGGAAGCAGCATGGGGAGGGATGGCTAAGAAGGAAATATTGGTCTTCGTGCCCTGACAGGCCCGTGTCCAGTTCCTGATCCCCATTCTCCAGCTGTGTGACCCTGGACAAATTGCTTAATGTCTCTGGGCTTCAGATAGTTTATGTGTGATCTGACTATGAAGATACCCACACCGTGGTGAGGTGAGTGGGAATGTGCAGAGAACGGCTGGCAGAGGCAGAGCTCAGTCAGTGGTGCTGTGAGCTGCAGCCGTTGGAGACTGGCTCAGTTCCGGGCTGACACTGAACAGGCGTGAGCTGGGAGACTTCATCTCTACGAAAGAGACTTTACACTGCCCTGCCCGCCTCGGTGTGTTAGAATGGGGTGGCACTTTGTGAGAATATCTGACGGAGCTGAAAAGTCATCTATACATGGATGTGGCTGTTTTTCATTTGCTATAGGTGCCTGCGCTCACCAGGGAGATGGAGAAAGACAGAAAGTGAAAAACCACCCCCCACCCCAGGAGGGATGGCCATGCTGCAATCTCTTCTCTTCCATTCTCCTCTTGGGATCTTGGGCTCGCACACACTCCTGCTGGGTCTGGAACTTGAACTGTGATTGACTACGAGTCCAGCAACATAACCATGATGCCACCTGCTCATCCCCAGACCACTTTTAATATAAGGACACTCTTTTCTTCTCTTCACAAATCTGAGGCCCAACGTGGATATCAGGTGAGACCTGATCAGAATCTACAAGAATCTTGTGTTCCTTCCTCCCCCAGGAAGCCCTCCCTGATGCCCCAGGCTGGATGTGAGGTGCCACCTCTATGCTCTTAGTACACCGAGGACTGGCCTCTACACCAGCCCTTTTTGTTCCCTGAAATTGTCATCTACTCCTACCTCCCGGACCGTCACCATCACTGTGCGTACCCCGTAGCAAGGCCTGATGAAATTCATCTCTGCATGCCTAGTCTAGGGAGCCAGCCAAAGTAGCTGAGCTGAATGCATGGATTTCCCCCTCATTGCCTACTTTATCTTCTAGATACATTTTCTCCAAAGAGTACAGACTCACGTCTGACGGGTAATTTGATGTGTCCACTTGAATGGGTCGTGGTATGCCCAGATGAACTCTTATTTCTGGAAGTGTGTGTCTGTAAGGTGTTTCCAGGTGAAATGAGCATTTGAATCTGTGGGCTCCTCAGACGGCCCTCTCCAGAACAGCCGGCATCATCCAGTGCATTAAAACCCAAATACACGAAAAAGTGGGGGCAGGAACATACATCCCCTTTCCTCTTCGCTGTTGAACTGGGACATCACATCCTCACTATCCTTGGGCTGGGAGTTATGTCTTCGACTTCCTGGTTCTCAGGCCTTCGGCCTAGGTCTAAATTGTACCACCGGTGTACCAGATTGCAGATGGTAGATCCTGGGACTTCTCAGCCTTCGTAAGCACGTGAGCCAATTCCTCATAATAAATCTCCTTACAGATTTACTAGTTCTATTTCTCTAGAGAACCCAACATAGCACTTCTTTATAAAGAAAGTGTTTACATGTAAAGAGAAAATTGGGCTCATCTCTTACCTTTCTGCAACATTTAGATGTGGACAGAGACCATCTGGGGGCCTCCTGCCATCTATCCTGTCATGGTCCTTCCACCCCAACCCTAAAAAGAAATGCTTGTCTCTCACTCCCATGAAAACTCACCTGTCTTCATCCCCATCGTCTGCACGCCCAGGCATCATCCTCTGCTAGGATGTGTGACCAGGTGGATAGCCAACCCTTCAAAAGAATTTATTTGCATTCACACTCACTAGGATGACTAACATTAAAAAGATGGTAAGTGTTGCTGATGATGTGGAGAAATTAGAATCCTCACACATTGTTGGTAGGAATGTGAAATAGTGCGTCAGTTAGGAAAACATGCAGTTCCTTAAAACATTAACTATAGAGTTACTGCCTGACATACCAATTCCCTCCCAGCTGTACACCCAAGAAAACTTATGTCTACACAAAGACTCTGATACAAATGTTCACAGTAGCGTATTGTTAATAGCCAAAATAATGGAAACAACCCAGAAGTCCATCAATAAAAGAACATATAAAGGGCCAGCAGGTGGCATGGTGGTTAAAGCATTGGACACACACATGGCTGACCACAGTTCAAGTCCTGGACCAGGTAGCTTGCTTTCTCACTTTCTCTTTCTCTCTTTATGGCCTATTTTTAAATTAATAAGTAAAAATTTTTTAAAAGAAAGGCTGTATAAATATTATAAGTCCATATGTTGTAATATTTGGCCATAAAAAATATGGAAGTACTGATATATGCTATAACCTGAATGAACCTTGAAAACATTAAGTTAAATAAGCGATCCAAGTCACAAAGAGACCACATATTATATAGTTCCATTTATGTGAAACATCCAGAGCAGAAAATTCTATATGGACAGACAAATCTATAGGGACAGAAGTAGATTTGTGGTTGTCCAGGGCTAGGCACTTGAGAAATGAGGGGTGACTGCTAATGGGTATGGGATTTCTTTTTTGGGGTGACAAAAATGTTCTGAAATTGATCACAGAAATAGTTGCATTACCCTGGGACTATGCCAGAAACCACTGCTTTGCACACTTGAGGTAAACTGTATGGTCGTGAGTTAGATCTCAATAAAGCCGTTTAGAGAAGAGACACATGTGCGACCGCAGACCTTTCTAGTCCTAGGCAATGGCTCATCTATGGCTGGCAGGTGGAGTCGCGCCAGGTAGGGTATTCCCACCAGGTAGATATGCCCACAGTGAGCTTCCTGAAAACCCTAGGTTCTCCCATGGCTGGGATGGAGCATTCGGGAACTCCCTGTCCCCTCCCACCCACCTACACAAAAATCACCAACATGGACAACAAAGCACAGAAACCAAAATGATCACTCCACACCTGTTCCTTACAATCGCTCTTCAATATGTTGTAATATTTGGCCATAAAAAATATGGAAGTACTGATATATGCTATAACCTGAATGAACCTTGAAAACATTAAGTTAAATAAGCGATCCAAGTCACAAAGAGACCACATATTATATAGTTCCATTTATGTGAAACATCCAGAGCAGAAAATTCTATATGGACAGACAAATCTATAGGGACAGAAGTAGATTTGTGGTTGTCCAGGGCTAGGCACTTGAGAAATGAGGGGTGACTGCTAATGGGTATGGGATTTCTTTTTTGGGGTGACAAAAATGTTCTGAAATTGATCACAGAAATAGTTGCATTACCCTGGGACTATGCCAGAAACCACTGCTTTGCACACTTGAGGTAAACTGTATGGTCGTGAGTTAGATCTCAATAAAGCCGTTTAGAGAAGAGACACATGTGCGACCGCAGACCTTTCTAGTCCTAGGCAATGGCTCATCTATGGCTGGCAGGTGGAGTCGCGCCAGGTAGGGTATTCCCACCAGGTAGATATGCCCACAGTGAGCTTCCTGAAAACCCTAGGTTCTCCCATGGCTGGGATGGAGCATTCGGGAACTCCCTGTCCCCTCCCACCCACCTACACAAAAATCACCAACATGGACAACAAAGCACAGAAACCAAAATGATCACTCCACACCTGTTCCTTACAATCGCTCTTCACGCTTTTATTGTTCATTTTCTTCACATGGCAGATACAGAACTGTCTTCTCTGCAATCCAGACCCACGCTTGAAGACCACCACTGACCAGGAAACATCACTCTTTACAAAACCATCCCCCCTGTGTCATTATCGAAACAGTTTTCCTGATGGTCTGAGAGTGTTGAAGGGTGACCGGCACATTTGCACATGCAAAAAAATTAGTATCCCCCGAGGCCCCAACGTTTTCCAAATTCGCCATTGGCTGAAGGTGACTTTCGAGGCTTTGGGTTCGTGAGCTTTCCTTGCTGCTGAAAGGGGGAAAACCCTCAAGAACTGAGAGGCTGGATCATAGTCCGTGAGTGTTAACATGTATGGGACAAACGTGTATCATTAGGATAAGAGACAGCCACAATTTTTCATGCTCATTGAGGGTTAACTGCAGGAGCGGGCAAAAGGATTCCAGTTTATGAACATAACCGAACAACGCTTTTGAGCTGGGTGGGACATAGGAAAACTGTGACGTCCGCCAATGACCAGCATTTTCTGCCCATGTGAGGATCTCGTGAGACCCTTCTCCTGGACCGTTACCAAACCCCAACTGCAGCCAGTCGACTGATTCATTAAATAACACAAGTTATAAAACTTTAAAAATGGGGCATTTACAGTCAGGGACATAAATACGTGCTTTTAAAAGTGTCTACATACATATTTACAGAGTTGCAAGATCAACCATAGTAGCCCTGAAAAAAAAAAAATCCCTTTATTGTGTGACAACTCGTGCTCTTCCAAGTTCCCTCCTCCCACTTCGGGTTGGAGGCACCACTGCGGAAAGTGGAGCCAAGAAAACAGCACCAAAGTGGTCTCAGACATCCTGGTCTGGGGTCTGCCCCAAAGGCACAAAACCCAAGAACCTCACTGAACTTGGTCCAAATGCCGAGCTTAGCTCACCCGTTTCTCCGAGACATGCACTGTCCACCAGAGAGCAGGAGTCGGCCCCTTCCTTCCCTGGCTGGTGACTTGTGGCCTCTGAAAATCTCTTTTTCTCCCCCCTGTGCTTTTTAACTCTCCCATTTTTCTTTTTCACTTCTCAATTTGTTTGTTTCCCTTTGCAACTAAGTTGAGAAGCTCAGACACTAAGGAAGTTGATGGTCCCATCAAGTGAGGCGAGGAAGGGCACAGGAGATTCCCGTCCCCATACACTGTCCTCACCCCTGCTCCCACAAGGGAGGAACCAGATCATACACGGGGACAAGGTCTTTCCCCCAGGTGCACCTGCGTTAGGGGTTCTCTGCAAAGACTCAAGAGCAATGAGCCGGCTAGAATTTCAGATCTGGAATTGACTCAAGAGTCAGCAGCTTGGGTTGCTTAGGCAAGAAGGGGGGTTTTCCAAGAACTTGGGCCAAAGCTTCAGGCTTGGCTCCAATGTGTCTATACACTACTGATTCCCAGAGATGGTGGGGAAGAGGGGAGTTGGAGGTGGGGATGGTATTGAAGGAGAATTTGGCCCCCTGAAGGCCTCCCTCAGACAGGACTGAAGCTGACCCTTGGGCCAGACCAAAGTCCCCACAATGGCAAAACACAACTCGAGAAGCAAAAAGCAGGGTCAAGGAGCTCTTGAAAAATTGCATAGTAGGTGGGGCCCCACCCCAACAGGAAGGTTGAGCTGCAGAAAGAGGTCCCTGGGGCTGCATCCAAGTATCATCCCAGAGGACAGTATGGAGTCAGTTGCCTTCCTGCCTCCTTGGGGTTCAGGACCCTTGCTTGAAGACCACACATGTGTGCGTGCATGCACACGACACCCACCCACCCATTCACACACACACATGCACACACACACACTCTCCTCTCACTAGCTCACACAACTGGGATAGGTCCGTACTCCCTGCAGAGCAGACTGCCAGTCCCTTTGGCTTCATTGGTTCCAGGTCACTTCGGGTGCTGGGGAGAAAAAGAAACTCAGAGTAGTCATGGAGAACACATATTCAGAGCCGGCCATGCACCGTTCATGCATGATCCCACTTCACTTTTAAAACGGAACTATTTGCCGAAGGACACCATATACGCACAGAACAGAGCACAGTGTGATGAATTTTCATGGTGAACGCACCTGTATGACCAACACCTGGGTGAAGAAACAAACCTGCCTCAGGGACAAGCAGTTAGCGTAATGGCTATGTCGCTGGACTCCCACGTAGTCGACTGCGGTTTGCGTCCCGGACCCGGTGGCTTAAAACTCATGCCGGGTGCATGTGCGTGCGTGCCCAAGATCCCGAGAGGACAATGGAGGAGAAGGGATTGCGGTGTGGCCATCCCCCCGGGGGGTGATTTCTCGCTTTCTGTCTCTCTGTCTCTGTCTTTCTGGTG